ACACACACATATATATATATATATATATAATCTATTATGATAAATGTTGACACAGTCTTTTTCTTATTTTGTAATCATCATACTATTGACAATAACTAGTTTCTTTATTTATTTCTTTAATCTGAATTCTTTTCATTCTGTGCATATTTGATTAGATCTTTTTTTTTCTTTTTTCATCATAGACTTCCGTCTTGCTTAGAGTTTATTTAATGTTCTGAAAGGTACATCAATAAGCTTAATGATGAAAAAACAGCATTTATTTTACACAAATGTTTTTCTCCATAATCTCTGTCCTTGTCAATGCACTTAAATCACTTCATTGTTAATCACATAGATTGAACTTTATACAGTGAAAATTTCAGATCAAAATTCAGTTACCGTATATACTTGAGTATTGTGTGAGTTTTTATGATCAGTTTTTTACACCAGAAACAGGTGGTTGCAATATACACTGGTTATTTTTTTAGAGGTTAAAAATCATGCATTTTCAGAGACTGATTGCACTATACACAGGTAAATTTTTTCTAGAGGAGTTTAAATTCATACAAAAAATTCAGGGGTTGTACTGTACATGAAGTCAGCTTATGTGTATATACAGTAATAATTACAGGTCCAGATAAATAATAATAATATTTATTTTCCAAATATTTTGGACCATTTTCTTGGTTTCTGGTGCAAATTGTTCAATGTCAACTTTCATAATCATTAACAAAGAATGTTCATTTCTACACCACCTTTAACAAAAGGTTAGGAAGGAAACTCCCTTGAATACTAAAAAGAGCTATAATAGTGAACTTGAGATGTTTATTTCGATGAAACACTGTTTTAAGGAAGGGCATCAAGAGAAGATTATAAAGTTTAAATTTCAGTATCTTGTTTGGATGTACTGGCTTCACATAGTAAATCTTCTTCCATGTGTTGTAGAGCATCATGGCTCTCCACTACTTCCTTTTTTATAGATCTGAGTACTGTTTGCCTTTTCACTATCCTACCTAGTTCCAGTTCTGCTAACCATTTTCACAAGCTTGTTAGATAGGTTATTGGCTGCCTCTCCCCTTTCTCTCTTGCCCTCAATATTCCTTGTGAGTGTTAAGTTTTCCAAGCCCTCATTATATGTTCAAGAAATGTTAGCTATCTCTTTTCTCCACATCCAGATTGTCCAGGATTTACTGTCATGCAAAAGAATGAATATCACATAGCAACTTAATATTCCTAATGGTTCAGATATTGAAGAAAATTAAAACCCCTTTATTTGACACTATTTAGCATTCAACATGCTCAAACCAACCATGTTAATATCAGCTCTCAAAGTTTCACTGTTTGTGGTAAAAGTTATTTTCAATGATGTTGTCATATATTATGGCAGAGTATACACGGGCTGGTTATGGTGGGTTGAACACTGACAGCCAATATTTAAAGGGTGGGTTTGGGTCTGTTGAATGCTAAATAAAATGTCTGATTTGAGATGATAATTATTTTTCCTCTCTTTGCATTTATATTTTCACTGATTAAAGCAAAAATGACAGAGGAAAGCAGTGAATGACCTACCAAACAAGCTTGTCTAAATGGTTTGCAGAATAGGGATTAGGAGAAATAATAAAACGACAAACTTTACAAACAGCTAGAAATGACAGGATATTATGGAGATCCATGTTCACTCAGAAATGATACAGCACATAGAAGGTGAAGATTAAGCAATTGAACAGAATATCTTTTAATCAGATTCCCGACTGGTGTGAGGGTCTTTTGCTCCCCCAAACTATGATACAGGGTCCCCACTCTTCTACATCACAATTTTCATAAGATAGTAGTCATATAAAATAAAATTTTATTGTTACCTAATTATGTACAATAATAAATTATATGCAATATATGTGAACAATTCAACCAGAAACATTGAAAATAAATACAATGTATCTAAATACAAATTAGAGACCTGTCATTATAGATCATTCCATCTTAAATAAACAATGTTTTGCAGCAATTTTTAACATCAAATTGAGATTGTTCTTGTAAAAAAAATTGAATAATTTTAACCCATTCAATATTATGGATAAAAACTAGTGAATTTTATTTAGTGTTTTTTCAAGACATAGCATGAGTGAAAGAAATTCATGGACAAAAAACATCCCATAATGACATCAAAAAATTTTTCATCCATTAATAGTCAGTTATGTGCTTAGTTTAATTTATAATGTCTATAAATGTTAGGTAGAAAAGCAAATGTTGATAAGATATTGAGGAGCACAAGGCACTGCCCAGGGCCCCCAATCATGCTTGGGCCTCCCCAGTTCGATGGTACTACACACTGACCCTGATCAGCTTATTTGCTTTGTATGTAAAGATTACTATCTTTTACAAGCAAGATAATCACTGTTGTATTGACTTTGATAAATGCTTCTTTTTTTTTTCAGATTTCCTTATCCTTTTCTCTGTTGCCATTATGACTAACATTATTGACTTTATGCCTAAGTATGTTGAAACTGTATTTTCAACCTGATTAAGCAGTGTTCTGCCTGAACAGATGCAAATGAATAACCATTTGAGAATCTTGTGTGCCTCATTTATTTATAAACCTTGCCCATCAAACAATTTTAAAACATTAAATATTAAAGTAACCCTGAAAAGCATCTTGTTACCTGAATAATATTTATGAATAAAAAGCAAAGATTATTTGATTTTTTCAATATCAGGATAGGCTTATGGCCATATTACGTGGAAACACTAAACCCAATACCTAAACTGGTGACTGCTTAGTCACCCATTCTAGATATTGTCCTAGGGTCCCCAACTCTGCCTTTTCCTCCATTTTACTAAAAAAGTAGGTTTGGTGGATACCAACAATAGTTGTGGGGACTGGGCAATCAGTTTTGTCTTCAGTTTAATAACAATTGAACCACATACACATCAAGATTACAGCACCTGATATATATATATATATATATATATATATATATATATATATATAATGGATAATAGATTGTAATTGGGGATCAGAGAGCTGAGTTCCAATTTCAGCCAGGTTTGTCATATTCATTTTTTTTCTTTTTAATCAATTCACCTCAAGCAAGGCAATAAAGCCGCTAAGATGCAATGGATTACTGAGTGTTAAAGAATATGAGAAAAAAAACACTAAAGAGATTGAACAATAAAAGGACAAGAATTAAGACAAGAGTAGTTAATGATTGGCATTGCATTTAAACTTTTGAAGATCAAAGTTGACTAGAAAGCAAGAAGCCAGAAGAGTGTTCCACAAACGAGAGGTATCAGAGAAGAAACTGTTAGCATAGAACTTATGGTTGCATCTAACCAATTCAACTGTAAATTGATGAGATCTCTGGGCAGCATTTTTTAAAAAAATATATAAGTTTTTGTTAAGGAATTTTTGTTTATTTTTTCTGTTTCTAACTATTTTCCTGGTTTCCAATTAAATTTTAAATATGCAACAGATTATGTAGCACTTATTTCAATTAACTATATTACTTAGAACAATTACTTCACTACTTATGTAAATGTAAAACAGTCTTAGTTGGCAATAATATGTATATAGTTGGCTATGAAATGGTACTGTTGATTATTTAGGTTTAATTTGATTAAATAATGCACTGACTATTGCTTGCATCATGTGGCAATAATTGTAAGTAAAATGATACCCTAAAATAAGTAGCCAAGTAATTGTTTTAAGTTCTCTGAATATCAGTGCTGTTTAACTTTCACATTCCTTCCCTGTCTTTTGAACAGGCATGGAGGTTTATCCATTGTTTGCTGTTTAGAATTGGGTTTCCAGTTGTTTCTCCTAACATCTTATTCTTTTTCACCCCAGTAACTACTGGCATCTTAGTGGCATTATCACCTTGCTTGGGGTGAAATGATTTTTTTTAAAATTGTCTTTAAGTACTATACTTTTTTTCTATTCATTTATTATGCTTAATATTAGTATGTTTTTATTATTAATACTAGCAGAAACCCTATGGAAAATGATGGAATTATTTTCTAATGCTTTATAGCACTTCTGTCAAGGATCAAATTATTTGCACTCTGTCAGGGATTAAAGTATTTGCACTCTGTCAAGGATCAAAGTATCTGCACTTTATCATGGATCAGATTATCTGCTCTCTGTCAAGGGATCAAATTATTTTCATTCTGTTTGATATGAAAGTATCTGCACTCAAGGGATCAAAGTATATGCAATCTGTCAGGGATCAAAGTATCTACACTCTTTCAGGGATCAGAATATCTGCACTCTGTCAATGATCAAAGTATCTTCACTCTGTCAGGGATCAAATTATATTCACTCTGTCAGGGATCAAAGTATTTGCTCTTTGTCAAGGATCAAAGTATCTGCACTCTGTCAAAGATCAAAGCACCATTATCTGATTATCTAGTCTAAAATCAGTATAACTTCCATGCATTCTCTGCCAAGGATCAGTATAGTATTTGTGTGATTTTCTTAAGATCAAAGTCTCACTCTATGATCAGAGTATTAAAGATACACTGTGAAAAGTGTTAGATCCCCTTTCCGCCAAATATATATAAATGAATATGCATTTTGTGCAAAAGTTGCAACATGATTTTTACTAAAAACTAGAGATTGGATACACAAATGGAAACTGGTTTTTCACTGGTAACCTTTGTATACACTTAATATATATGTGGATTAATGCTATGATTCATGTTTTCTTAGGAATTTTTAATAGCATATTTGGAATTCTGATGCAATTGCAAAATGCTTTGAAGGATACCAATGATAGAATGAATGTTTTAAAACTTTTCTTAAGACACAAATACAATCTTTGACCTTTCATCCATTTTTCTCATAGATTTTCTTCTTTTCTAACATGCTACCATTTACCAGGCATACTGTTCTTGAGGTAGACAACTCGAAAAAAAAACAAAAAACAGTTGACTAAATAAAATGTGTACACATCTGAATCAAGGAACATTTCCATGAGCGCATTGGCTGTATAACTCTGGCAACAGGACTTGCACTCTGAGATTGCTTACGACCATATCAAATTGAAACACTGATTCCTGTATAATCACCAAAGATAAGCAACTTTGAGCCTGATCAGTACCTAGATGGGTAATCACTTGGGAATACCAGGCACTGTAACCTTGGATGTGCAAGTGGTGTAATGGATAATGGCTTGGAATTGTTAATCGTAGAGCAAAATTCAAAAAAATATATAAATAAACCTAATTGACTAAAATACCCATCACAATATTTTGACACGTACATCTCAGGATTTACATTATTCAAACTATTGTCCTCATCTTTGTCACCATATTTATTACAATGTTTCAGCCATTGTACACTCCAGCCTTCTTCAGGTGGTTGGAATGTTGAACTGAATCCTTTATTTCACTCACTATTCTAGTTCCGCGTACCATGTTTAATGGATGTCAGTTATCAGTTATCTCCTGTTAATTCCCCTCTTCAAGTTCTCCACTGCCTTAACTGGGTATTGAACTCACACTTTTTGGGTCTTGTCACTGGATTTTTGTTTTGTTTTGGATTTTTGTTCTCATCCAAATATACAGATGAAGTTAATCAATATGGTTAATATTCCCCATTATCTCTTATATTGCTTTCATATCTTTATAACAATTATCATTATAAATACGTTTTTTAATTATTTAACCCCAAGAGTTTTTAATTTAAATTTTTGATTTACAATGAATGAATAGAAGCTTGATATTACAAGCTTTAGTTTTGCTTCGATTTGTATTTTTGCAATCTCTGGTACCTTTCTTCTTTGATTATTCATTTTTATTTGTCTAGCCTTGGAAGACCACTTTTTTGGGAAATAGGTGACTATATATATATATATATATATATATATAATCATCCCCACAAGTAAGCCAATAAAGCCACGAAGGGTTACTTAGTGAAAGAATATGAGAAAAAAAAATATTAAGGAGAGAGGGAAATGAAAGAACAGAAATTTAGGAGACAAGACTGACATTGCATATCAATTTTTAAAGATCAAAGTTGACTCAAAAGCAAGAAGTCAGAAGAAAATTCCAGAAGTGATAAGTGTGAGAGAAGAAGCTGTTAGCATAAAAATTGGCTTCAGTCATTTTCCCCACCAGTGTAATGTAGCTTTCTTTTCTATAAATATTTTCATGGTAATTGTTCTCATGAAGTTTGCTCCTTCATATCTAGACTTTATGAATTTAAGTGAAGTACTAGATTGACAGCTAGGTTTCATTATTTTACAGCTGAAATGAGAAGATGACCAGCAGGGTTTTTATTAGAATGAAATTTGAAAAAATATAAAGTACATTAACAAAGAAGGAGATTATAGATAAACAAATAGACATTATCTATTTTTTTTAGTCTGACTTTTATATTACTTCAAATGTTATATTTAGCGGATACCCATTTTGGAACAGATGGTCTGTTTTTTATACAGTGTTTATTATGTCTATCAGCCTGTGCAGGTTCTGAAACTTCCAGAGGGTTCATTTTTTAAAGTCTTCTTGAGTGCATAGACTGGTAGATGTAATAAACACTGTTTAATAACATTTGAAGTCTCTCTCTCTCTCTCTCTCTATATATATATATATATATATATGTAACCAAATCTGCTAATAAAGTGCTCAATATGAGACCAGAATGATAATTATTATTAAAATAGAAGTAAAAATGTTCAATACTTTTCTCGTTGAGAGTCCTGAAGAGTGATTGAAAAATTATGAAACTTGACCTTCAATAAGTATGGAACTGTTTGACTTCAATTTAATATATGTATATAAACACACACACACACACACACACACACACACATATATATATATAATGTAGGTATATATAAATCAAAAAGTCTGCAACATAATGTTGAAAAATGTTTATATTCTACTACATAATCTCCTTCTTTGTTAATGCACTTAATTCAGTGACAAATTGTTAATCCTTCAGATCAAACATTATAAAATGAATTCAGCTCATAAGTAGTTAATAAGTTTTTGATCCACTCCAATATATTAACTAAAGCATTGCAATTGTTACTTTTCCCTTTTTTATTATAATTATTACAATGTTTTTCGTATAACTGTTGTTACTAATGAAGTTGCTGATGTTTTGAATTTTAGTTGTTTCTATCATGCTTCCCATAAATATTTTTTTTTAAATTCTTTCTAATAAAGACCCTGCTGGTCATTTGCATATTTAAGTGGAACACCTGAGCTTTTCATTAAACTTGAAGATTTCTTTGGCATGTTCAATAGTTCTGTTAGTAAATGAACTAGGTTTTACTGTGAAACTGCAACCATGAATTTCTTTCTCTCTGTGTTTTCTGCTTCTTCCATTTTGACTCTCTTTTCCTCACTCTCTTAACTAACAGCTCTTTTTCATTGACAACCTTTCTCCAATTGTTGTTGTTGAACAAAAATGTAGGAAGGGGGAGAAACGATGAAAAAAAATCGAAAAAGAATTAAACGACTAACAAGACATTGGCAAGTAATTGATGCTAAACGAAGGCAATCGCAGATGCAAGATGTTTTTTTCCTTTTTTTTGCTGCTGCTTATTGGAGGGTTTTGAGAATTTGGGGAGGCACTTTTTCTTATTTTTTTTTTAAAGATTTTCTTTGATATTTTTTTTTAAATGTTAAAACACAGCTGAATTCTTCTCTTAAAATCTATAAACCTTGTTCAGAATCTTCACCTATTTTTTTATGTTACTTGGTTTTCTAATTTCTTTCTCTCCTGTATTTTTTAATTTTTTTTTCTTGAATATTTTTTTTTCCTTCCTTTCTATTTAAATATCAGGTATTTAAAAAATTAACCTTTTTTTTCTACTTTTACTTTTATAAAATTAAGTGATTCTGCCTTGTATCAGTTTTTAAAATTTTACTACTTTTTAAAAAAATCTTTTCTATTTAAATATCAGGTATTTAAAAATCCTGAAAAGTTTAGGCAAAAAAAAAAAAACGATATAAAATTAAGTGATTCTGCTTTGGTCTTGATAAAATTTGAGTTTCTTTTACCGTAGTGAAGAAAAGCTAAAGAAAGTGATAAAATAATAATAATATTAATAAACTTGAATACATTATCACTATCAGCAGCAGCAGTAGTCTGAACAACAGCAATGAAAATTAGTGAATATTGTTAATTGGCTTAATTGTCAAACAATGTAATTAACAAAATAATACATTCAATTCAAAAGCACAAAAATATTCCAGGCAAATTAGTTGTAGTGGATCAAATTCAGCTGAAAAGTAATAGAGCCACCATTTTTCTTTTTTTTCTTTATTATTTTCTCTCTTTCCTGGATGAAGAAAGCCATTAGGGCAGTCATATTAACAACATCAATAATCATATTCAAAACTTCTGTCTTTTGTATCTTGGCAAAGACCTGGAAACCACTGACTTGAGCGCAAGCGATACCGAGAGAGAAAATGAATGACTTCGAATAATGACTTGGGAAAAATATGAATATCGAAACAATGCAAAAACATGAAAGAAAGATAAATTATTCCCAATATCTATGAGCCTGGCCAGTGGCATGGAAAGAAATGGTTCTATGTCTCTGTGTTAAAAAAGGATGTGAGTTACAGCGGACTTGTAAACAACAATGGAAGTAGTAGTTATAATGATAACATTGATAATAATAACAATGATAATGTTGATATCTGTATCTCTGAACATGAAATTGAAGGTTTCTTTTTTTATTGATGGTACAGAAATTTTGCCTAGAGTGTTGTGTGATTGATGATAGTATTGATGGAATGTGGAATAAAACATAATAATATTTCTATAGTGCCAATGTTAATTAATATGACTATAATGATGATGAAGATCATTTCTATATAATAATAGTAATCTAGATCACTGTTTCTCAACCATTTTTTTAATTTTTTTTGGTGGATCCCCATAACCATCCAATGAAAAAAAGCTTACTTTTTTACTTTCTGATAAGTTTAGGAATTGTATTATAGAAATAGTCTATGTATATTCTTTATTTTGAAGCAAAATTAATTTAATGAACATTTTTACACTAGTAAAATAACTCATAATAAAGCATTTTAAAATTTTTACAATCAAAACGTCTGGTACAACAAAAGAGACACTAAATTACATTACTTGATCCCGTTTTCTGCTAATTTTAGAGTTGTTTTTCTATTTTTAGTATTTTAATATGGCATAAATTACTGTAGAACTTCCAATTCACAGGTGTAACAACTGTTCAGAATTGAAATTGCTCTACAAACCAGTAAAATATTACCATGGACCACCAATATGTTATTTTTTGTGTGAATCCCTAGTAATGTTACATGGAGCCACTTAAGAACCACTGATATAGGTTATGTAGCAATTTCAAATGTTCATTCCATCAGTATTACATGGAACATGGAAATATTAACATATCATGAAAGTAAAAGAACAAATGTAATAACAGTGCTATATAGTTTGCAATAATGTCAGAATAGCAATAACAATATTGATGGAAATTTTCAAAATAATAGAATACCACAGTGGATTCAAAGAAAAGTTCAATAATAATAATAATGATAATTATATATATATATATCTTAATTCCTAATTTTCATTTTTTTTAACAGATTAAGTGCTAGACCTTGCTCAAAGAAATTTTTGGTCAAAAATTGCGAAATGAATTCATTCTTAATTTTTTTCCCCAACAAGCAGAAACATTTATGCAGTTAAAGTGAAAATGATCAAAAATAAATTAGAGAGTGGTAAAGTTAGTGGGCACCTCCCCACCCTAAAAAAACCCTAAAGCTGAAACCTTGTTTGTCTATAGCAGATTCTGATATATTTAGAATAAAAAAAACAGCCATGATTATTTTTTGGGGGCTTTTGGACAGAATTTACTGACTGAATATATGTCATCACTAGTGAGTCTTTTCATTTAATCAGTTCACCCTAAGTAAGGCAACAAAGCCACTAACATGTAGAATATAAGAAAAACGAAAACATTATTAAGGAACAAGAACAATAAAAGAACATGAACAAAGTAGACAGATGATAACAATTGACATTGCATTTAAATTTGTGAAATTCAAACTTGACTGGAGTTCCACGAGCAAGAAGTTTGAGAACAGAAACTATTAGCATAAAACTTGAGGCTTACATTTAGCCATTTCAACTA